GAGACTTAGGAAAAAGATCAGAGGACTTTTCTGTCTCTCCTGTTTTCAGGCCCAGGGACAAGGGACTGTGTTAGGGCTGCTCTGTTCTGTGGCCCTGGGGGAGACCTGTGTCCTTGCTCTTGCTCTAGGTCAGCAAACAACTCTTAGACGTCTCTGATGGAGTTCCCTCCCCTAAGCCTGCAACATGGAAATGCCCTGTTTCCACCACCCCTTTATCAGACCATCTCAGCCTGGAGAGTCTTTAGAAAAAGATGTCTTTATTACACCTGGTGGCAGATGACGATAACATTTACGGCAAAGGGTAGACTCTCTTTTTCAGTATCGTAACCATGGAATCAGCCCTGATCCATGCCTCAAACCCAGTATTTCATGAAATGAGGTCTTACCAGACCTCCTAGAGTGAGCTGGGGACATTTCATCCTCTGACAGGCCTGGGACTGTGGTGGCTTCTGACCACAAAGACTCCCTTGACCAAGGCTGACCCAGGCTCTGCCACCAAGCGATGCCCACTCCTTGGGCCCCCACAATCAGGGCTCCCGACAGTTTCCCAAATTGCCACCACCTCTTGGTTTCAACTTGCACAATATTTTCTTTGGGGTTGGGGTAGTGGGGAGGACAGATGCCAACAGGAAACCCTCAATAGCTGCCTTGGCAAAGCTCAGCCTCGACACCGTGTCCCGCATCCTCTTGTCCTCGTTTGTATGCCTGGTAAAGTCCTTTTGTTCAAATCCCAACAGCCATGGACTTTGTCCAGCTCCCAGAGGTCCAGGGAGATGAGCGGCTGTGTCACAAGAAGCATTTAGGCTCAGCCTGGTAGTACGTGAGGAGAGAGTGGGCCAAGACGAGCGGGGGGCAATGGCCAGAGTCCTTGGCCAGCCAAGGAAACAGCGCTGTTGCACATGGGCTGGTAGTGCTTGGGTTGTCTGCGACACATGGAGAAAGCATTGCTTCCCCTTGACTCTGAGCAAAGAGGGCATTTAAAACCAAGGTGTGAGGGGAGGGTAGTCAGTAATGGCTTATCTGCCTAATGAGATTAGGAGACCCACGCTCTAATGAAAACACACGGTAGCCCATGAGGTATGGAATTAGCAACTGAGGACAACCTCAGTGACCACGTAGGCCAACATCCTAATTTTGTAGATGAGAAAACTGAGGCCCCAGAGACCCAAACTGGCGCAACTGTTCAGAGGCAGAGCTAGGGCTGAAGCCGGGGACCGTTGAGTGTTCATCAAGAGCACTGCGCACAGCATTGCTGCACAGGTGCCAGCACTGCCAACGACCTGCCACATGATCCTGGACAAGTCTCTGAACTCGGTTCCTTATCTGTCAGCTGAGGCCACGGGACCACATGATCTCGGAGCTGCCTTCCAGAAACAACACTCTGTTTCCTTCCAGCCCAAGAGACGGCACAGAACAGCCTGGCCTCCCAGCCAGCAGGCACTTTTACCTCCCATACCCTGGGTAGGAGTCATTTTTTGCTGGAGGACTCCGGGATTTGCAGGCTTCCAAACTTGTGTTTCCTATCCTTTGATGAGGGTAGGAAGAGGAAGGGATGCTTTCCCTCTGCCTCCTCTCCCCTGTGACTCCCACCCCAGCCCTGTCCTCAGCGTCTGCCTAAGAGGCAGTGTGGGCAAGTGGTTGTAAGCAAATGTGGAGCTGGAGGCTGTGCCCTAACCCTGCTCTGCGGTCTGCTAGCTGGGGGACCTCTAGTGGTCATCTGATCTCCCCTTGCCTCTCAGTTTCTCCATCTGTAAAATGGGGATAGTAATAACACCTGTCTCAGGGGCTTGTTGTGAGGACTGAATGATAATCCGTGAAGTGCGCCGAGAGCCTGGCCCACAACAAGGGCTGTCCAAGCGTCAAGTGTTATTATTGTGGGTGTCATGTTCATATCTATACACCACCTTCAGTGACCCTGGCCAGGCACCGAGTTGCTGAGTTTTAGCCAAGGGAGCCTCTACAGCAGGATTGGCTGGTCTGAATCTGACTCCTGCAGCACCAGCAACCTTCAGTCTCCCTTTGAAAGGGGACCACCCTGAACCTCCCAGAAAAACGTTGCTTTCCCCGATTGAAGTGATTCCCGTGTAACCACAGTCAGGAGCACAACTGGCCAAGATTTTCATTCACCACCGACTCAGTCTCCACTTCCCTTCTCCAGATTCCACTGGAGGCAGATTAAGTGTCACATCACATCATCATCATTGCCCTGTTCACGGCCACCCCAGAAGCTCCCAGTGGAAGAGTTCGGAGCCACGACTCTGGCCCTCCGCGCTGACGCTGAGGCCCCGGCCCTGCCATTCCCAGCCCCTGCCCCTCTCTGCGGGCGTCTTGTGGCCAGATGACGGCGCCAGCTCCTCACACCCGAAGCACACTTGTGAAGCTGGCTGGGTTGGGGCTCTGCTTCTGAGCTTCCTCTCCCTGCCTGGAAACCTGAAGCCCCAATTTGCAGAGCAAAGAAGAACTCTGCCCCCCACCCTTGATTTTAATCAGGGGTGGATGTGTCCTGCAAGACTCAGAGGTTCTGTTTCTCTAAACCCAGACCAAATGTGTTTGGGTGGCCAGGCCTAGTAATCTTAGCAGGAACGTGCATGCCATCGGGCTGAAAAAGATCATTTTCCAGTGGCCTGTCAGCAGATGTCCACTCCAGAAGACAAATGGGGGATGTGGAGACCCCCACACTTCAGAGTGAAAAAATGATGGGAATGTAGAGCATGAGTGTGCACATTCATGTTCTCAAATGCCCAGTGAACATAAATGTCTTCCATCCGCAATATACTGTATATGCCTAAACATAGTGAGCCCCAAATAGCCCCTCTCCTACTTTCCTAATGAGGTAAATTTAACAATTTTTCTTTTTTTTGCCAACTCATTAGGGATCAAGACCTGTTGCGTTTGAGGTGGGGAGTAGGACTTGACTGGAAAGGCTCTGGAGGGAACTTTCTGGAGTGATGGACATGTGCTGTACTTTCATGGGGGTGGTGGTTACTGGGTGATTTCATTTATCAAAATTCATCAGACACATCCTTAAAATCTGTGCATTTTAGTGAATGTGAATTGTACCTCAATAAGAAAGTTAGGAAAATGAATTAAATAGTCAACTATCTACTTACAAAATTTAATCATGTAGTTGCATACTTAAAATCGTATAAGAATATATTTATCATATTACTCTCTTTTCATTCTCACATTTCATGAAATAACTTTATTCAAATGTGCATCTTTTGAGATCAATGTATATCATTTCTAAGCCACTTTTTTAGTCAGTAATTTTCCAGAATATATCATCTTCAGTTTGTCTGGTTTATATGAGATGCAGAACTCTGTGAATCCATGTTTGATGCTATTTGATGCTGAAATGTTATTGCAATACACAAATACCCATTTGCATAACATTATAGCAGTTGTTTTTCTCATTTTTCTTACAATTGAATATTCATCCTCCTCACCACATACTCAACTTACATATTCCTTTCCAAAATGAGCTTTCAAATATTTATCACAACTTTCAACAATTGCACCCAGGGAATAATCACCAAATATATATTAAAGCTCATTGCCTCATTTCCATAACTTCCCTTTAGGGACCTTTAAAATCATCCAAAACCAGTGTTGATTGAGACCATTTCAGGCTAGATTGTTTTCCCCAAATTTTGTAGTTCAAATAAAGTAACTGAGAAAGTCCCAAATTATGAGAGATGTTTAAAGGACAATAAGTCCCAAACTGTGAGAAACTTTTAAAGGCAATATTCTCTTTTCTGCTAGTTAATTTGAGGAAACAAACCTTCATCTCCTTATTTTCAGACATATATAGTAAATACTGGAATGTGTTCAGATCAAAGACAAAATAGAGATTAACTGAGCACATTTCGGCGGTCTGGTTTCATAGTTCTTTATTAAAAGATTAGTAGTATTAGCTTAAGTTAGAAGTTTCATGTAAATACTTTAAACCTTGCTCTTTACCACAAATGAAAAGTTGAAACATTCTTGAATAAATTCAAACACACCATATTTTACTCAAGGGCATTAAAGAAACAGATGATTCTGGTTAGCAATGGGATTGTAAACACACTAAATTATGAATTACAAATTATTAATTTTCTGGTCTTACCTCACATTCTGTCCAGTCTTCAGCTACAACCAGTATGATATGATGAAAGAGAAAGATTTAGTTTTTTCAACAGTTACTTAGTTTAGGCATCAAAAAGAATGCTGTTCTTAAGAAAATCAACTTGAAAGGTTACACACTGTTTTGTTTTTTTGTTAATGTTGATGTTGCTCAACACCGTTGCCATTACTGTCAGAAGCAAAATCAGATAACTCACCAAGAGCTCATTGGGCATAGAAGTTCCTGTCTGGCTCAGTGCCGTGGTTGTTCAGCTATTTCTTTGGTAGCAGAACCCTGGTTTTATATGCCATCGTATGTGGTTGAAGCTCTGCTTGGACCCAGGGCCGTCCTGCTTGCTGCCAGTTCTCTCTCTCTGGGAGGACTGCTAAGGGGTTTCACTGCACCCTGGGGGGCTCCACGGAACAGTTTGAAAACCTCTGGCAGTAGATCACCCATAAGGCTTAGTCTCAGAAGACCTGAGTTCAGGACCTCGGTTCTTGACTCTGTGATTGTTGGCAAGTGACTGGAGTCTCGTTTTCCTCATCCAGACAAGAATTACCACAAGCATGTTTGTAAACGTGCTTTGGAAACCATGGAGTGTAAGGTTTATTTTGTTCCTTAAGCCTTACTATTTCCTAGTTGCATCTCATTTCTATGCTGTGTGCCATCTCATCTTAATTATTTAGGGGCTTAAGATCCACATTTTCTATTGTTTAGCCCTGTTGATGCTATAACTTCTGCCTTTCAGCCTTTCAGCCATTGTAGTCCACTGGAGAATGGACAAGGGGAAAATGTGAATTCGGGCTCTACTGCTACTGTCTTGACAGTAAGGGACCCTGGGATCATGATCCACCCTTGGGACTGACCACTCTGACAGGCTTCTCTTCATTTTCAGGTGGGCCAAGAGAAGGGAAACTGCTCTTTCCAGAAAAACCCAACCCCCTGCATCATCCCTCAAGAACAAGAAAATATCTTCCACACAATATTTGCTTTCTTCACAAAGTCTGGAAGAAAAGTCTTGGTAAGGATTTGCTTAGTGGCCGGGGTAACACGGGTGGTCCTCACTAGGAAGACAAGTCTGAGATTAGAAGCCAGTTTTCTATTTGATATTTAATATTTCCCAAATCTGGTTTTAATCAATGTACTTATTACAAAGGCACAAAGACTGTGGTCAACTCATAGTTTTCAGTCTGAGGTTTCAGTCAAAGTGCAATTTTTTTTTTTTTTTTTAGACAGAGTCTCACTCTGTCACCCTGGGTAGAGTGCAGTGGCCTCATCATAGCTCACTGCAATCTCAAACTCCTGGGCTCAAGCAATCCTCCTGCCTCAGTCTCCTGAGTAACTGGGACTATAGGTGTGTACAACTGTGCCTGGCTAATTTTTTAATTTTTGTTAGAGATGGGGTCTTGCTCTTGTTCATGCTGGTCTCAAACTCCTGACCTAAAGCAATCCTCCTGCCTTGGCCTCCCAGAGTGGCAGTATTATAGGCATCAGCCACTGCACCCAGCCTCAAAGTGCTAAATTTACATTCCAAATTCTATTGCCTGGCCAAAGGAGAGTCTTTGCAACCCACCAAGAGAAAAATGAAATGTTTCTCCAACTAGTATGAGTCTAAATAAGAGTGATGACTCTTGTATAAGCACTTTGGAAAACTGTTTGGCAGTATCTACTAAAACAAAACATACATGTATCGTGTGACCCAGCCATTCCACTCCTGGGTATGTCCCCAAGAAAAATGAGTGCTTGTGTCTCCCAAAAGTCATGGGCAAGATTGTTCACAGCAAAATCTGGGAACTCATTATCCAAAGTGAGGCACCACAAGAGCAGAAGAACGGGATCCACTTGTACTCACCATCAAATTGGTATTAACTAATCAACACATAAGTGCACATATAAGAATAACATCTATTGGATGTTGGGCAGGGGGGAGGGGGGAGGGGAGAGGAGGGGACGGGTATTTTCATACACAAAGAGTGCAATGCGCACCACCCGAAGGATGGACATATTTGAAACTCGGACTTGGCGGGGGGGCAAGGGCAACATATGTAACCTAAACATCTGTACCCCCATAATATGCTGAAATAAAATAAAATAAATCAAAAAAAATATCTGGGGACAATCCAAATACCCACGAACAGGAGAATGAGTAAACAATTGTGGTATATACATACACTGGAATATTACATAGCAACGAAAAGTAACAAACTGCTGCTAACGCAACAACATGAATGAATCTCACAGATGTAATAGTAAGTGAAAGGAACTAGAGAAAGAAAGGTCACATGTTATAATATTTCACTTATAAGAAGCTTAGACATAGCGAAACTAATCAGTGGTGATGGAGGTCAGCATAGTGGTTACTTTTGGAGGAATACTGACAGGATGGGGCCTGAGGGAACCTGCCTAGGTGCTGGAAATATTCTACATCTTAGGGTGGTGGTTCTCTCCGTATAAACATGTATAAAAATTTATAAAGATGTACACTTCAGATTTATTCTATTTACTGTACTTTTTAAAAAGTGAAGGTATTGAAGATGGAATCCTAACACTTTTCCAAAGCCTCCCTTCTCTATATCTGTGGTTACATTTCTTTAGCTCCTCATTTCGGCCCAGGTACATCTCGTGTGTGTCGTTTCCTTCCTCACTCTCTTCTCCCGTAGAGAAGTGTGACTGCTTGCCACTTGAAACAGTGGCATTTTTTTCACATACATAGTAAGGATAATGTATCTATTTTTAAAAGCCCTTAGAATTGTTAGATATGGTGATATCTATTGTTTGATAATTATGACTCTGTGTCTGGCTGAAAATTTTACCCTACACGTGAAACATCACAAAGATATGTGTATACATTTTGGATCCCACATTACAAAAGAAAAAAAATCCCTGTTTTGTAACTTAAATTTGGAATTTACATTCCTATTGTAACTTACGTGTTTTCTTGAGCAAGAGTCATGTGAGTTCTTACTGCTGTGACTTACCCTGCCTAAAAATGGGCATGAGAGTGTATTTGCCACTGCTCGGGCAGAAATGACACGATGTAGGAGATACATCTGATGTTTAAACTCGTAAGCATGCTTTCGGAATACGGAATGTAAATGTGTTTCTTTATAAAAGCAATTATTTCTCCTTGTGAAATCCAATTTTTTGGTGGGAAAAAACAGTGAGCTACTTTCTCCCAGGTGGCTTGACTTGAAGGCAGGCTCTGGTGCCCGCCAGGTGGGAAATCCCTCCCATGCCCTCTGGTGGTGAGAAAGAGTGATTGCATCTTCCTGTGGCTTTCCTCTGCCTGGAATTGCCTTAGTCACCAGAATAGATAGAAGCTCATGGAGCCCCGCTGCTCTATAAATTGCTGTGGATTTGTCTTTCTTCTTAATGCCGTTTGACAATTCTCTGTTTTTTCTTCTAAGGACTGTGAAAAACCAGGAATTTCTTGCCTAACAATGCACTGTAACCTTAGTGCTCTTGCTAAAGAAGAAAGTCGTACTATAGACATTTACATGCTGCTGAACACAGAAATACTGAAGAAGGTAAGTCCTAAGGAACTGTATCCTCAGCGTGCACTTAAAAGCATTTGAATTGGTTTCCTCATGACACTCTGGCTGCCCCCTTTAAAACTTTTCTGGCAGGTGCCATTGGTAATTCTGCTGCTAGATGATGCCAAGGAAAATACCAGACCCTTGCTATTCAAAGTGTGGTCCGAGAAGAACCAGCAGCAGCATCAGGGGAGTTTGTTAGAAGTGCAGAATCTTGGGCTCCACCCCAGACTTACTGAGTTGCGATCTTCAGTTTAACAAGTTCCTCAGGTGTTTTCTTTGCACATTTAGGTTTCTCATACTTTAGCTTGCATCAGAATCCTCTAGAGTTGTTAAAAAACAAAAAAAAAACAACAAAAAAAAACACAGAGGTTCCTCAGAGGTATAGTCTGAGATTCTGCAGTTCTGACAAGCTCCCAGGTGATGCCAATACTGCCGGTCTGAGGACCACGCTTTAGATCAAGGGTTGGCAAACCTTTTCTCTAAAGGAGCAGTAGTAAATATTTTAGGGTTTACAGGCCTTGCAACTACTCAACTCTGCCGTTGTATTGTGGAAGCAGCCATAGTCAATGCTCAAATGAATGGGCATGGCTATGTTCCAATAAAACTTTATTTATAAAACCAGATAGAGGGCTGGATTTGACCCATGATTCCTAGTTTGGATGACACCTTGTTTCAGAAAAGCCCAACTTTTTAACCTCAGGTCACTTTGTTATTATGAGCTTATCAAAAGTGGTTCATAAAAAACACCTCAATCGGTGAACTGGCGGCCCTTGAAGAATCATACAAATTTACTATGATTTATTTTAAGATAAGAGCTACTGAATATGAGAGGCCACTTCCAACAAGTTGCTATAAAAATAATTGCATGTGAAGATAAAACAAAATATGCATGTTAGCCACAGGGATTCTATTTATTTTTCTTTGGAAAGACTGAATGTGTTAATCTATATAAACCCATCAATGTGTGAATAAATATCCTTAGAAAAGTCACTCCATGGTTATTTTTAAATAGGCACAGCAGTAACATGCTGACCTGAGAAGATGCAGGCATGGGGAATGTTTTCCATTGTCCATCTGTAGCTGTTACAGCCCCCACACACCCGAGGAGAGCTGTGCACAGTCCTGGTTTCCCTGGCTTGCTCTGGAAGGAAACTGGTTTGGGGCCAGTTGGGCTCACACAGCAGCGCTTCCCGTTGTAGCTCTCTCGTTGCAAAGGACAGTGTTAGAGGAGAACCAGGCATGAATTAAGCACCACTGGCTATCCTCTGATTCCAGAAGGGAGCCTGGAAGCCCCATGTCACAGGATATACCTTCCTGGCATGAAGGTTGAAAAGGACTATGATTGTGCATACTTACCTGTCCTGTCCATCTTCTTGACAAGTGGCACTGTAGATGGTTTAGTTGCCTATGCCACATTTGCCACTATTGACAGAGCTCTGATGTTGGCACTGATGGCCCAAAGCCACTCTGATGTCTCCTTTGCCCTCAGTGCAGAGAGCTGCTGCTTGCACTTCAGTCATTTGCACTTAATTTAATTGCGTGCAGCTCTGCAGCCTGGTTCTTCCATATTTCTCTTCTGGAAACCTTTTGCCAAGGAATATATCCCAGTGACTGCCGTCCCCATGGGCCAGCCATACCAGTAGAGCCCCAGGCAAGAGAGCGGAAAGCTGTTGGGTGTCCTATGAGGCCCTGGAGGGTCATTTTCTGAGAGCGCTTTCAGCAGAAGCGAGCAGAAACTCCAGGTGCAGAGGAAAGTGTAGAGCAAAGCTAGCCTGGAAGCCAGATGGGGCCCTAGCTGCTCCTGGAGCTTGAAAAACAGAGCGTTGGTCCCCCGAAGCCAGCTACAGCCTCCCTCAGGGAGTCAAGCCCGCGTGGCTCCAGGCCTCCCTAAGGATGTGGAGCAGCGCCAGCCCTGTGGCTTGTCTGGGCCTGCTGTTGTGTTTATTTTCCTTTTGACCTCAAGATCTGGCCCCAGACAAGGGAATTTGAGGTTTTATTATTTTGACCTTAACAAGTTTTCATTTGAAATGTAGGATCTGATTTTTAAAATCATCAGAGGATTCAGATTTCTTTGAAAATGTTCTTCTTCTAGTCTATAAGGCTTTCTTCACTGACTCTGTAACCACACGGGGCCGTACCAGGCTCCTGGTTTGCTCGGCCTTTAACTTTGACAATTATCATCACCATTATTGTTACTATTATCATTACTGATATCCAAGATTATTATTATTCAAGATTGAAAATAACAGTATTCCCTGATACATAAAACCACAAATTTATAAAACCGTTAAATTGGTAAAAGATTATTTGCATACAAAATTATTTACTGCTTAAGGTGAGCTAATTTGGAGCAATTCCTTTGAATGACAAGCTTCCCAGAAGCATTTAAAGTATGTTTTATGGTTGTTTAAAAAAAGAACAATAATTTGTGCTTGACTCCCAGGTAAAGTACACAAACGGACATCCTCGTGTGCCAGCCCAGGAAGGTCTTGTGGTTTCTTTGCACCGATGAGCAAAGGGCCCCAATGGAACTATTTTCTATAGTCTTCCACTTTCCTGTTTTTTTGTAGGTTTAGCCAGAAGTGTGTCAAAGCTGGCCTCCGAGTGTGAGCCTCCTTGTATGGCAGGCAAGCTGAGCAGATGTGGGTGGGTGTACCACAAGACACTAGGCTGGCAGTGCCCGGCCATCCCCATGGGCGGAGTGCCAAATGTGCCAGTTCTCTGCCTTCTTTTCCCGCAGCGGAAGCCAGGCTGCCCCTTCGCTCTGCACTGTGGTCAGTGCAGCACCACCTGTATCTCTGGCTCTTGCCTAGACCACAGTTTTCCCAGTCCTTGTCTTCTTCCAAATTGCTTCGCCATCCCTGCTTTGGAGCCATTTTCTCATTATTTGGATTGGTGGCTTTGAATCAGAGCCCACTGTAAGGCTTCTGACTGCCTCTGTGTGGTGGGCAATTCCTGAGTCTTGGATGTGCCCCCGCCCAGTCCCCTTTCTCCTCAGGCTTAATTTATAAACCAGATATTCCCCCTTCCTCATCTCTCCATCAGGTACCCTCTTTCAGTGTTAGCTGGCATTGACCCCAAAACAACTTCATTTAAGAGCAAAGAAGGAGTTAAAATAACTCACATGAAGGGTTTGAGGGTTGTGGTCAGGGCAGAAAGATGCCTGTAAAATGCAGATCAGATGCCTTCTGTAGAATGCCAGGCCTGGGTTTCTTGTATACAATTAAACAGCTTTATTTATCCTCAACTCTTTGTGAACATGTCAGTATCAATATCCAAATATCTGGCTCTTACCACTTGCAAACCACAGCACAAAAGCTTGCATGTGTTGATTACTGGCAAATTCCATAGTTTCTCAGCATCCACTATGATCTGAAAGAATTCTCGAAAGAGACCCTGGAAGTCTATGTTTATGTGGGTGCCTGGGCTGCAGAGGTATCTAGTTCAGTGATAAAATTTTTGTCTGGGCTACGTGGAATCTTGGAATTTCAGTTCTGCCCAGTCCCTCTCAAGATCCAACCATTATCATTGAAAAATCTTACAGCAGGTTGTGTTATTTCCTCCACAGGACAGTTCGTCTGTTATCCAGTTCATGGCCCGAGCCAAGGTGAAGGTGGATCCTGCCCTTAGGGTGGTGGAAATAGCCAACGGGAACCCAGAAGAGGTGGCGGTGAGTCAGCCTCCCCGGGACAGCCCTCCCCAGAGGGCGAGGGAAGCTGGGCGACTTGGAGACTTGGAGCTGGGATTTGAGGGTAAAGACGGTCTCTGAGCCAAGATGTTGGGTTTGTAGTAGACCCAAGACTATGCCTGCCTTGGCTTCCAGGCCCCCATGGAGAATGTCTGTGGTTTTTCTTATTATAATAGCATTGTTCTTCAGGATGCCATCAGTATGTGAAAGTTTCTCGTTATGATTGGCCAAAGGAAAAACAATCTGGAAGGACCCCTGATAGAGCTTGGATTTCCACTCTGAAGCCAGGACTATTTTTATCTTTCTTAGACCTTTCCCTAAAACCTCGCCTGCCTTCCCAATCACATTGCTCCATGGATAAACACGGGGTGTTTTAAAAACAAGTTGAACAAATTGAAGAGGTCACGTCGAACTGCCAAGACCTAGAAATTTCTCTTTCGCCCTCTACCTACTCCTGTCTCATCCATCAAGTGCAGTTGGCGTGCAGGCCTCAGAGACAGGGGAGGGTGCAGTGAACCACTAGGCTCAGATGTGGGGGTGTGGGAGAGGCTGGAGGGAAAATGTGACCTTGGAATTTTATTGCCTTTTATTGTTGTTCCTGGGGGAGTGGAGAGGGCTCATCTTTTGCTTGACACCCACACTCAGATCCTGGGGGAATAGAAGGGGAGAGAGCAGCCTAGGAACCACTTTTGCCAATGAGCTGTGCAACAATGCTGCCTTTCTGCTCCCCCCTTTCCATGTATTTGGGCTTCTCTCAAGGGAGACTTACCCTCTTTTGGAAGAGTCCATGTTGCTGTGAGAAATTTGCAAACGGATAAATTCATAAAGATTATGTACTTAGAAAAGATCGTTCACTTATTCTCCGAAAGCAATGGAGACACCACATGTTGAAATGTCAGGGGAGGATCAGACCAAAGCTCACTCTTAATAAGGGTTGGGAAGGGTTCATATAGAAAATAAATCCTTCCCAACCCTTCCATAAAATCTCAGTCCTGCTTCTGTTTCTGGTGGGCAAGAGACAAGAACATCAGCAAGTTCGGGATGAATGTGAACCCCTGAATGGGACCATTCAGGAATATTGGTGCTGCACGAGGGGTTGGGCATTCCATGCTCAGTGCCGGGAAGGAGTGTCACATGTGGATCTTGACTACACTATTCACACAGAGAAGTTGTCCAAAAACTGATTTTGATAACAGAAACTGAAGGGAATCATGCCGGCTTGTTCACTACTTAGGGTCAGTTTTTCTGGCAGATCAAATATTTGGAGTTGGCTTTAACCTTTTCCTCCCTGCCTCCTGGCCATTTAACTGGCCTTCAGCTAGGAAATGAAAGAGAGAGGGGATCTCCTGCTCATTGTCATAATTCTGGTCAAAAAGTTTTATAGAATTATGTAATACATGCCCCACCTGAGAAGGTTAGAATGTTCTGGTAGACCACAGTGTTACCAAGTAAGAGCTAATGGAAATAATTGACAGGTTTTCTACACATGGAATTCCTTGTGTGGATGAAAAAAATACCACCGGGCACACTGCCTTCGATTAGAGGACTAAGCTGCGGGATCCAGGAAGACATTGCTTAACATCCCGTAGTTGGCTTCTGAGTCATCTTACTCCCCCAAAATGCCACTTCCATCAATTGCTGTTCCATTTCGAGCACTATGGTGATATTTTCATTATCAAGAGTTCTTGGGAAGAGGCGGGATTTTTTTTTTTTTTTTAGTGCTCCCAAGAAAAATTTAACAGACACAGGAATCCCACAATGTCTCTTCTGCCTTCTTTCCATGACTCTGTCTTTTCAATCCGTGAATTAAGATGAAGTTCTGCAGTCTGTTGTTGTCAACTTTCCTGGCAGAAAAAAAAATCTTTTCTGAGTAGGAAGGATTGCCTTTTTAGAACAAACATGTTCCTTCCTGTGTAATTCTTCTGCAAGCCTGGCTCTCTGTCAAGCATCCATCTGAAGGGGAATTTCCATAGAGGCTGGCCACCAACTTTAAGTCAGGCAAAATTGCACAAGATTTTAGATTAAGCACCAAATTGTTATGCCCTTGGAAGGAACAGGAAATGTACTTGCGTCTGGTACTAAACAGGCGTGGGTGAGAAGAGGAAAACAATCTGATTTTTAGCTCTATAACGTGTATATGATGGTAAATTTAACTGGTAGGGAAATCAAATAATTTTCCTGTGATTCTTCGTGTTTTTTATGCCATGGTCCAAGCAGTGCTTTACAGAGCATTTGGGTGGATAGAAATATGTAGTAGATTCTTGAGGCATTTGCCTTGTTCATTAATGGCCAGCTCCGGAGTACTTCTCAGGTAGCACATTAGCACGTATCCAAGACCAACCACAACAACCTTTCCTGGCTTCGGACAGACCCAAACCTGGCAATTCCAGGTGAGATTTGCGTGACTACAGAATGAGAGTGCTGGCTGCGAGGTGCCACTATTATGTTGAATTTCATATTCAATCCGATTCTACTTATTGATGCTTTTCAGGGAGTAAGTAGGGGGCAGGGAGAAAAGGGCAGAAAATGCTGCTTGGGGCCCACAAAAATAATTAAGAGCAAGAGGAACATAGCTAATCGTGCCCTGGAATGCTGGCCCTTGTAAAGAGAAGGAATTCATCTCAGAGAGGTACTTCAGAAGGAAAATTTGAGCAGGCTCCAGAGACGTTTATACCTATTCATGCAGCCATAAAAAGGTATTAGATGATATTGAGGGGTTTGGGGGGATGCCTGACCCCTGAATTGGCCACTGAAGCCCACGGATGAGGAGAAAGACTCAAGTACCCCATATTTTAAGAATCATTGCCAACAACTGAGGCCAGAAACTGCCCCCAGGCAAACCAAGACTTTATAGAATTGGCTCTGCTACTAGGAGATACTGACCCAGCCTCCCTTCTCAGTCTGTGTAAGAAGCTTGCATGAATTCTTGGTATTTTCTTGATATTTTCAAATAGCAGATATATGATAAACAAGTAAGTCCACAAATGAATAGGTAAGCCTCTGCCATGTGGAGTGTGCACCATACTGAGGTCTCAGGTGCAAGCAGGAAAGACTGTGTCTATTTTGCTTCAGCAAAGTCAGAATAGGTTGGAAGGATATGTGGGAGCTCTCAGAACTGCCAGGAAGGCTGGAGAAGCAGCCTGAAGATATGAGCGTGGTCCAGCAACCTGAGGGCTCCAGGATGGGTCCAGCTACAGGAGTCTGGCGTGGTACCCTGGGCACTGGACACAGCTGTCCCTGGCTTCCCTCCACCTCCTGCTTGGGGTCAAGAGGCTGCTGAGGTTATGGGGACCAAGACCCCCAGAGAGCAGGTCACTGTAGTGGGGAGGAGGGGCCCTGCCTTACCTGACACTCACATGGGGTCGGGGGGATCCCCAGCATTGGAGAGGGGTTTCCTTCTATAGTGAGGGTCAGTATGGAGCCACCCAACCTCTTGCTCTTCTTGAAGCTCCCACCTGCGCCAGAGTCTTAGTTGAATCACATAAACACATTTTTGGTGGCAATTTCCTGGGCAAGCTGCAATCTTGAGAGAACACGAAAAGCTTTGTCCAAAGGTGGTTGAGGAGTGTTTGTGCTTTTTGCTTTCTTTTGTTTTAAGAAATAATATGTGTGAATGAGTGATGCTTCCTTGCTGGTGTGATAGGGCACATGTTTGGGGCCCTTAATTCTCTGCCACAGGAGAGGAATTCACCTCCCTCAGGAAACCCAAAATGCCATCAGCATCCCTTACCCTACACATGGGGAGAGAAGTCCCCAGAGATCCCACTGTGCCCTTCCTGGATTAGGACCACCGAGTCCTTTCTTCTTGTGGACAAAGGGGCCTCTGACACCCGGGGAGAAGAAATGATTTGCCCACAATCTCACAGTGGCCAAGACAAGGGTTGGATCCAAAATTTTTGGCTCCCGGCTTAGTGTTTTTTTCCCCTCTCCCTGCATCCACTCGGTCACATGGGAAGGCACCGAGCCTTTTCAGATGAAAGGGCCCAGGCAAATGCAGAGGTATCCGGGATGGAAAGAAAACAATTGACTTGTTTTAAAGCCTCTCTGTTAAAGCTGCCCAGGTGCCCGTGGAGCCAGCCAGCTCCTTCAGACCGAACCTGGCTCTCCTCGTTCCAGCTGAGACTTTGCTTTCTCAGTCTAGCTCAGACCCCAGAACGAAGCCTCGTGACTGCAGCCGAGCTTTCACTTCTAAACAAACCTCCCCAGTCAATCGCTCATTGATCCAGACAGCAAGGTCCAACTTCATGTTCTCTGAAGCCATCTAGGCTCAGTTCCGTGTTGGCCCTTTCAGGAAGTCAAAGAAAATCCTGGATTCAAATTCCATCTCCCCTGAATTTTATGTGACTTTGGGTGTCCGGTAAGCTCTGTGAGCCTCAGTTTCTTTATCTGTAACATGGGAAAGCTGCTTTCTATTTCCTGGAGTTGTTGAGAGGGTTCAACGATGCCGATAGGAAGCTCCTAGGAAAAGGGCAGGCACCCAGCCACTACCCAGCACACCCGAGCATCTCCTCAGCCCTCCAGCAGGTGAACTGCCCCTTCCTACCAGTGCCTAGTGCTGCCCGCCCCTGCCCCAGCCAAAGAGCAGAGGGGGCATTTTCTAACATAGCAAACAAACGTTACTCCAAAAGATGCCACTTATTCCTTTGTTGTACTGCTTCTACATGTAAAGTTTACAGTTTTTACTGTCGTGAAATAGTGTGACTTGTTCTTTGCCATTTGTGTGGCCAATTACATTTAAAATCATTTTCCATATGACAATAGAATTTCCCCCCGTGAACCTCAAGTTACGTTGAGATGTAGGATCAAGAGGAGGGTTGGAAGGCCATTGCCACCTCTGCCTTGCACTATCAGCAAAACGGGGAGGCAGTTCTTTCTCCTCACCACCATGTAAGAATTAAGCTTTGAACATCAGGAATTGAGAAAATTCCCAAACACATGAGTTCTATATCGTAATAGTCATTATATGCTTATTCATTCGAGGA